TTAACAAGGCAAAGAAACTCAGACAGGCTAACAGCACTAGCTCAGCTGGTTAAAAGAGGACAATTGAGAGAGGGGGCGTGAACACTTGCCTTCCCCAGTTAAAACAAGGCCAGATCTCAGAGAAGCTAGCACCGCTAGCTCAAGCCAACCGTTTATGAAGTTGGTAAAAATGATTGGGATGGGGGCGCGAACGCTTGCCTTCACCAATTAAAAACAAGGCCAGAATGTAGGGAGGCTAGTACCGCTAGCTTGGTCCAACCGTTGTATGAGGTTGGTGAGAACGATTGGGAGAGGGTGTGCAAATGATTGCCTTCACCAATTAAAAACAAGAACCAGAACTCAGAAAAGGCTAGCACCACTAGCTCAGTCCAACCATCTATGAGGTTGGTAAATGGTAAATAGACTTCACTTATATAGCACTTTTCTATCTTATCGAGATACTCAAAGCGCTTTACACTACAATCTGTGTCCTCATTTACCCATTCATACAGCACTCTACTAGATCTCTACAAAGCTAATTGAACAAATCTTTCTAAAAAGACTAATCAGTGTTTCAGATAACATTCATACACCGATGGGACACACATCGGAGGCATTGAGGGGTTCAGTGTCTTGCCTTGAGACATGTGACTGCTGGTGGGTTCAAAACCCAACTCTTGCATTGGAGGACAACTGCTATAACCACTCAGCCACAGCCTCTCATTTGGTGAAAAACGATTGGAAGAGGGGGGCAGCACGGTGGCGCAACTGGTAGAGCTGATGCCTCTCAGCGAGCAAGTCCCCGGTTCAAATCCCAGTCCGGAGGCCTTTCTGGGTGGTGTTTGTATGTTCTCTCCATGCATGCATGGGTTTTCTCCAGGTACTCCGGTTTCCTCCCACAGACCAAAAACATGCATGTTAGGCTGATTGGTAACTAAATTGTCCCTAGGTGTGAGTGAGAGAGTGAATGGTTGTTTGTCTCGTTTATCTCTATGTGGCCCTATGATGGACTTGCGACCTGTCATGGGTGTACCCCACCCCTCGCACAGTGATTGCTGGACATGGTCACCGGCGACCCCCGTGACCCAAAATGGAAGAAGCGAGTAAAAGATAATGGATGGATGGATGATAGAAAGAGGGTGCACGAATACTTGCCTTCACCAATCAAAAAAAGGCCAGGAACTCGGCTGGCTACGCTAAGCAACAATAAACTTCGGAGCTCAATCGAAACCAACCATGTGGTTGGAAGCCTCCAACAATTGGGAGCGGAGCGGAATGCTACCTCTAACCAAGGCAAAATATAAGTAAAAAGACTACTCACCAGTGTTGAATCACACACACAGTAGTCAGACACTGCAAGTTGGGAGGGGTGCGAAAACTGCTGTAGTCCCCAATGAACAGCAGAAATATCTTTAAAGAAGGCTAAACTGTTGCAGCCCCTAGGAGGGCGAACACGCTACTCCAGCCAACGGGCAGTCGGGCCTCCGACGACAGTGAAAAGGTCCAAAGGGCTGATGCCCAGAATTGAACCGCGCGCAAGAAAAAAAAAAAGGAGTAGAACTGCGGATGACATCAGGCTATATAGCCTCTGATTGGTCATCCATGTCACACCTGTGACTCTGTTGGAGTTATTACTCGAATGGCGCATGCGCAAAGGGAACATTCAATGCTTTCATGACCGCCCTCTGGTGGTCAGTAGGGATGACATAGAACTTCAGCAAATTAAAAAACAACTAAGTGCACAAGCTTGAATTTATTGGAACTTCTGGCAGAATTCTGGATGACATTTGACCACTATAATTGGTAGAAATGGTAAAGCTGTTAAAGAAAACAGTTCATTTTTTGTTTTTTAAGCAAAGTCTACAAATTTTCAGTCAGGCTGAGGTCATGAGTTTGGGTTTTTGATCAGTGGACCAGTGTTCGTAGATTCAAAAGCCTCACAATGATTCCTTCAAACATGCTTCTTTACATTGCAACCAGATCATTTAATCTTTGAGTCATGTGATTATAAAACTTTTCTTCAGAAGACGTTTGGTTTGTCCATGTGAGTTGTTGTAGATTTCAGTAGAATTTGAGGGTGTTGCTTTTGGAGCAGGGGCCACTGTCTTGATCAGGCCTTTTTCATTCCATGGAAGTGTAAAACTTTAGGTTACGTGCGTAACATCAGTTATCAGAGCTACCCTGAGAAAAGCATTTATTAAAGCATTATCAAAGCTTTTATTTTGATGTCTCACTAAGGGATATGGAGACTCCCATATAGCCAGACAGCTTAGCTCTAGCAACCACTAGCACCCAAAGATACTCGGCCTGTTCCAGCAAAAGCCCAGAGTTTAATACAGTAAAGCCCACACCTGGGACGAAGACGTTCAACTTGTACAATCAAGCAAAAGCAAGTGGTGAGGACCAACTTGTACATATGTCCTGAATAGAGACCCCTTTAAAAAGGGCCCAAGATGCAGCCACGTCACGGGTGGATTGGGTAAGTAGGTCTCAAGTGCCTGAAGGCCCTGACTTGTATAGGCCAAGGCAACTGTGGTCACAATCCAGTGAGAGAGACACGGCTTTATGATAGGCTTGCCCATATGATTGATTGATTGATTGATTAACCTTTAGTTAACCAGGCAAATGCCATTGAGATCACAGATCTTTTTTGTAAGGGAGGCCTGGACCTGGGAACATATGAGAATTTGTCAAGGATAAAAAGAGCCTATCGCTCTTCCAAAAGCTGCTAGTCCTGTTCAAGTAGGCCTACAGTGCCCAGACTGGATACAACTTATTTAACTGCTGTACCTCCAGTAAAGAAAAAGGTAGTGGGAAAAAAAGCTATACGAATATTTGGAGAAAACACCCCCTTCAGTAGTGTTGAGCTGTAGTGAGACACTGACATCTCCAGGACCAGACTTGGTGCAGGAGCGGCACACTGTAGGTTCATGGGCATCAATAACATGTTTAGCAGATGCCAAGGCCAAGAGCAGCACTGCATGGCATGCATGGACAAAGCATATTGTCATAAGACAGTGCTTCTCAATTATTTTCTCTTATGCCCCCCCCCCCCCCCCAGGAAGAAGTAACCCCCCCCCCCCAACTCTCCGCAGCGACTGTAAATAGTATGTCTATAAAATTGTTATAAATACACCTCTACCTAACATTGTGTCCTTATTAACATTAACGGAAAAAAAAAGAACATAGATCAACTTACAAGGAAGAATTAACATTGCTTTTTTAGTCTATCAATTTGCCTGGAAAAAATATATATATATTTTTTTTAACTGTAAACATTTTGTACAATTTGATACTGAAAAATACAATTAAATATAATCAATAAATAATAATAAATTCAAATTGATCAGCAACATTTTAACTCAGGAGTGTTATATGAAACACTTTGACCTACAAAAAAAAAAAAATGAATAGAACAATTTATGCTGATTTTTTAAAAATTAAAATGAGGAAGTCAGGATCAATGAGCACATTCATCGATAAAACAAACAAAAACAATTGTCAACGCGAAAGTGGAAAGAGGGGGCAGGTAACCCTCTTGCTTTGAGTTACTCTTTGTCGCCTGCATGCTGTGAGTGACAAGCGTCCAGAGCATCAAAAAACAGCAGCTTAACTGAGGAGGTGAGTTAATTTTGTTAGCAAAGAATCAAGTCCTAACATTTTTAAACATTACTTCTGTAAATTGTGCTTTGACAAACTCATCGATAAAACTAAAACATTTTGTCAAAGCAAAAGAGGAAAGAGGAGGCATCGCTCTTGCTTGAGTTTACTCTTTGTTGCATGCGCGCTGTGAGTGACGTCCAGAGCGCATGGACATAAAAACAGCAGCAGAGGACTGAGTAGGTGACGGTCGAGTTTATTTATCGCGTCAGCTGCAGAGGGGAGAGACACGGGTCATGCATGGCTCCCAAAATGACAAGGCAGCCATAAATCCATGCTTTCATCACAACTCGCCTGGATTACTGTAATTCTCTTTATGTCGGTCTGAGCCAGTCATTACTGACTCGACTTCAGCTGGTTCAGAACGCAGCTGCCCGCCTTTTAACTGGTACCAAAAAACGAGAACACATCACCCCTGTTTTAGAATCACTACATTGGCTCCCGGTTCGCTTCAGGATTAATTTTAAGGTTCTTTTATTTGTTTTCAAATGTCTTCATGGTCTCGCCCCACAGTATCTGTCCGACCTGCTCCAGCTGTACACTCCTTCTCGCTCTCTCAGGTCAGCAGATCAGCTGCTGCTGGTCGTCCCAAGGTCCAACAGGAGACTGAGAGGTGACCGAGCGTTCTCAGTCGCTGCCCCTAAACTGTGGAACGAGCTGCCTCTGCATGTCAGACAAGCTGGCTCACTTCCTGTTTTTAAGTCTTCTCTGAAGACACATCTTTTCTCTTTGGCTTTTACTTCAGTTTGAAATGTTGGTTTTAATGACTCTAAGTTATTTGTTTTATTTTATTTGTTATCTTTATTTTATTTCACATTTTTAACGTGTGGGGTTTTTATGTTTTTGTATGTCCTAGTGTACAGCACTTTGGCCAACAGTGTTGTTTTAAAGTGCTCTATAAATAAAGTTGTATTGTATTGTATTATTGTATTTGTTCATAACTTATTAGGAACGCACATGACAAAGTGAGAATGGTGAAAAAAAAAAAAAAAAACCTACTCCCTGCGGCAAAAAAAGCATGTTTTCTAGGGTCACATGCAACTGAAGGGAACTTTGCTGGTACTTGAAATAAGCTACAGTATTATTTTGTCACTCCTCACGAAGATGTGAAGTCCATGGAGGAACAGGAGAAACAAAAACTGAACTTCTGACTGTAACCACATGCAACAAAGATGGTAAATAGACTGTACTTATAGAACACCTTTCTATCTTACCAAGATACTCAAAGCTCTTTACAACATACTGTGCCCTCATTTACCGCCACACACACATTCATGCAGCACCATCTCTATATGGATGGGGATAAATGTTTCCTTTGTTCTGGAGCAGCTTCCTGAAATTGTGGACTTGTTTTTTCTCAGGGACCCACGGCATATGTTCTAACCCATGAACCAAGTGGCTACTTTATTTGGAACCCCACCTGCGGCCAGTGTTATGAGAGGGATGACCCCTTCTGCCCCCTCCAAACAGTGGGCTGCTTGGTTAATTCTGATAATGTGAGTTAAAAGTAAAATCTACTATTTGACATGCACTTTTTTCTTCATAAAAACATCCCATCCCAACGTGATCTTAATTTTTCAGAGGATGTTCTTTATTGTAACATGTTTAGGTTTGGTTCAACGTTCAGCAAAAAACGTCACCGCTAAACATCAGTTTAGACATCACAAAAAGCAATCTGTGGAAACCATTTTTTTCCCGCTTCTCCCATCCAGGGCTGTTTAGCGTGCAGGTGAGCCTTAGTCAGCTTTTATTTCTAATCATGCATGTGCTCATTTTCCTACTAATTTTACATCCCTTTTAGCCCGAGGAGCTGGTGTACCGTCATGCAGACAAAGCAGCTGCTGTGGAACTTCAGGACAGGCAAGTAACATGAGGTGAACTCCTTTTACATTGTTACAACTGCCCCTCAGATCTGACTAGATAAAACATGTCTACTGTTTAACTTTGACAAGAATCGAGAAGATTCTGAAGGAAAAGATCATGAACTGGCGCCCTCGTAACCCAACTCGCTGGAATCGATACTGCAACACCATTTTAAAACAATTCCTGCCCAAACTGGAACTGAGCAGAGGGCAGGAAGTGACCGAGGGCCATCGCCACGAGCTGCAGAGCCTGCTGGGAGATTACAGGGCAAGTATTAAACACAGTTTATGGCTGTGGTGTTTGCAGATGACATCTTTTGTGAGAAAAAGTGGAAGAGGAGAGGTGGAGGTATGCACTTGAAAAAAGATGAATGAAAGTCAGCCGTAGCAAGACGGAGTACATAGAATCAGCTTTATTGTCACTGCACCGAAGCACAGCGAGATTACATTTCAGAACAGCCCAGGTGTGTGAATGAGAGAGAGTCTGGTGGAACAGTGAGGCTAAAAGGAGCAGAGGCCACAAAGATGCAGGACTTGATGCCGACTCTCCCATTGGTACATTTTCATCTTTAAATCACTTCTTGGTCTTCTCCCTTCATACATCTCTTACGTCTCTGCGTGAATGCAGTTACAGTGTGCACTCTCAGGACATTATTACATGCAGTGTTATCTCAGTGCAGACTGAACTAGGCAAAAGGGCCTTCTCCTACTCTGTTCCCTGGAATATCTTGCAAAAAGATCTGAAGCTCTTGACCTTGACCTCTCTAAGTGGCTTCAAACATCTGCTAAGTTCATGGCAAAAACCAATGAAGACATGTTCCTGTTTTTAGTTTTCTACATCCTTATAATCTAGCCGGGTTTTTTTTTTTTGCTACTTTTTCCTTTTGACTGTCCTTTTGGTTGTCATTTTATTTTAATTTGTAAAAATGATAATAATAATAATTTGTATGCCTCTTTTATGATTGTCCACTGTTGTCATCACTCTTTGTTAAAGAAATCAGGTCTCTCTTGTAATTGAGTCCCCGAGGCTCAATGGGATTAACCTGTATAAATAAAAGTTGAATGAATGAACTTCAAGGACTTAGAGGTGATTGTCCAGGAAAACAGGAAGAGTGCCCTTAGCAAAAAGTAGTTTGTTTACGTACAAACCGGATTCCAAAAAAGTTGGGACACTAAGCAAATTGTGAATAAAACTGAATGCAATTATGTGGAGGTGCCAACATCTAATATTTTATTCAGAATAAAACACAAATCACAGATCAATAGTTTAAACTGAGAGAATGTATCATTTTAAGGGAAAAAAAAATCTGTTGTTTCCAAATTTCATGGCGTCAACAAATCCCAAAAAAGTTGGGACAAGTCCATTTTTACCACTGTGTGGCATCCCCCCTTCTTCTTACAACACTCAACAGACGTCTGGGGACAGAGGAGACCAGTTTCTCAAGTTTAGAAATAGGAATGCTCTCCCATTCATGTCTAATACAGGCCTCTAACTGTTCAATCGTCTTGGGCCTTCTTTGTCGCACCTTCCTCTTTATGATGCGCCAAATGTTCTCTATAGGTGAAAGATCTGGACTGCAGGCTGGCCATTTCAGTACCCGGATCCTTCTCCTACGTAACCATGATGTTGTGATTGCTGTAGAATGTGGTCTGGCATTATTGTATTGAAAAATGCAGGGTCTTCCCTGAAAGATTGGACGTCTAGATGGGAGCATATGTTGTTCTAGAACCTGAACATAGTTCTCTGCATTAATGGTGCCTTTCCAGACATGCAAGCTGCCCATGCCACAAGCGCTCATGCAACCCCATACCATCAGTGTTGCAGGCTTCTGAAAGGAGCGTTGTTAACAACTTGGGCTATCCTTGTCCTCTCTGGTCCGGATGACATGGCGTCCCAGTGTTCCATAAAGAACTTCAAATCGTGACTCATCTGACCACAGAACAGTCTTCCATTTTGCCACACTCCATTTTAAATGACCCCTGGCCCAGTGCAAACGTCTGAGCTTGTGGAGATTGCTTAGAAATGGCTTCCTCTTTGCACTGTAGAGTTTCAGCTGGCAACGGCGGATGGCACGGTGGATTGTGTTCACTGACAATGCTTTCTGGAAGTATTCCTGAGCCCATTCTGTTATTTCCTTGACAGTGGCATTCCTGTTTGAGGTGCAGTGACGTTTAAGGGCCCGGAGATCATGAGCATCCAGTAGAGTTTTATGGCCTTGACCCTTACGCACAGCGATTGTTCCAGATTCGCTGAATCTTTTGATGATGTTATGCACGGTCAGTGATGATAACTTAAAAGTCTTTGCTATTTTACGCTGAGTAACTCCATTCTGGTATTGTTGCACTATCTTTCTGCGCAACAATGGTGGAATTGGTGATCCTATTAGTATGTCAGGACAGCTTTGCTGTAGACACACTACTAATTAATTATTCTTAAAGCTAGTTCAAGCACAAAGAATATTAATTGTTTAATTACAACAGATTCTTTTCTTTTTTTAGTTAAATTTCTGCCATGTGACGAAGATAACTGTGAGTGGATTGTTTAATCAGTGACATGAGACGCCATTTTATCTTTGACCCATCAGAATAAATGTGGTCATTTATTTAACAGAATCAAAATTTAACATCAAAACATGTACACATTGAGTTGCTGATCTGTTTCTGATTAATAAACTTGGCAAGCTTTACTAACAAGACAACAGAACATTACTGATTGAGACTGATTCACCTCTGAAGGCATCGAGCTTGATTACTGGCGAATAGAAAAGTTAAAGAGGAGAAATAGAAGTTTAAAGGTTTAAAAAGGAGGTTTAGATCTGGTGTGCCCAACCAGTCGCTCGTGGGCGACCTGGTTCCCAGTCGCCCGCGAAGCGAAACCTTGACTTGTATTCTCACAGACATAGTCTCGCGAGTTTTGGGTGCGGTGACACAGCGCTCTCACGAGACTTTAGGCTCAGTAGTGGAGTAATGTCGGTGCGCAGAAAACATGGATGGAAAACTAGCGAACAAGCAAACAAAAACTTATTATTTTCACACAGAGTGGGAGGAGTATTTTTTTGTTTATTCTAATTCGAAGTCCATTTGCCTCATCTGTAATTCGAGCGTTGCCTTACCCAAAAAGTGTAACTTGGAGCGGCATTTCAAGACGATGCACAAACGGTTTGAGACAGATTTCCCTCTTAAAAGTTCTTTACGGACTCAGAAAGTGCGGGAGCTAAAAAACAAGCTTGCAGCCCAGCAATCAGTCTTCACTCGGCCCAGCACAAAAGGTAAAGCTGCTACGATAGCTTCCTACCGTGTTAGCCGCATCCTGGCTCAACATAAGAAGTCTTTCAGCGATGGACAAGTTATGAAAGAAGCGTTTATTGAGGCTGCAGATGCGCTTTTTCATGATTTTAAAAATAAAAGTGAGATCGTAGCTGCTATTAAAGACGTGCAGTTGTCCAGACAAACAGTGACACGGCGATGTGAGGGAATGGCTGTGGATGTGGAGGAGCAGCTAAAAAAGGACGTGGAACAATGTGAGTGTTTCTCTCTTCAGTTTGATGAGTCGACAGACATGGTGGATGTAGCCCAGCTGTGTGTTTTTATCAGAATGGCCTTTGCAGACATGAGTGCAAGAGGAGCTGCTCACCGTCTTGCCTTTGAAGGGACACACAAGAGGAGAAGATATTTTTAATGCGTTTATGGAGTTTGTTAATAAAAGCAACTTGCCCCTCTTTAAACTAATTTCTATAACAACTGATGGCGCTCCAGCAATGACTGGTCACACCAGTGGATTTGTTGCACTCTGCAAGCAGAATGATGCTTTCCCAGACATTTTGCACTATCACTGCATCATCCACCAACAGGCCCTGTGTGGGAAGATTTTAAACATGAAGGAAGTGATGGATGTTGCCATGAAAACTGTGTGCTCTATAAGGGCCAGGAGTCTGCAGAGGAGGTTGTTCCGGGCTCACTTGGAGGAGGCAGGAGCAGACCACACAGACCTGCTTCTGCACATGGACGTCAGGTGGCTAAGCAGAGGTAAATTTCTGGACAGATTCAGTGAGCTGTTGCCTGAGATCAGGGATTTTCTGAAGCTGTCAGATCATGGTGAACATTAAAAACTAGAGGACACCCAGTGGCTTTTGGATTTAGCCTTCCTCACAGATCTCACCAGCCTGCTCAATGAACTGAATTTGGAGCTTCAGGGAAAGGACAAAAACATAATCCACATGATCAGTTCTGTGAGCACCTTCAAAAGCAGGCTGCAACTGCTCACAAGTCGGCTGCAACGCAGGGACCTGCGAAACTTCCCACACATGGAGGCAGAGCTACAGCGCCAAGGGAAAGAGGTCCCACAACTGGACAGTGCACACTATTCTAAGCAGGTTCAGAGCATCTCAGCAGAATTTGAGAGACGATTTACTGACTTTTCCTCCATCGAGCCTGTTACCGGCTACATGTGTTATCCTTTTGGAAATGTTGATGTGGATGATGTTGTGTCCAAATTGGTGTCCGTGTTTCAGCTGGACAGCTCTGGTGTTGAAAATGAGGTGTTGACTCTGCAAAATGACATTGGGATCAAATCCAGAGCATCACCTGGCGTGGATGGAGAGTTCTGGAGTCTGCTGTCAGAAGAAAAGTATCCTAACATCCGAAGATGTGCTTTGAACTTAACAGCACTTTTTGGATCTACCTACCTGTGTGAGTCTGCTTTTTCACACATGAAAATCATCAAGTCCAAAAACAGATCCACAATGAATGATGATCATCTGGAGACCTGCCTGCGCCTCGCAACCACCTCATACTGCCCAGCTTATGAGACCCTGGCCTCCTCCTTTCAGTGTCAGAAGTCCCACTAAGGTAGAGACACATTTATTTTATACAGCTTGCATAAAAAGTTGTCTCCTATAGACACATCACGTTCTGTTTTATTTACTTTAAAGAAGTGAGGAGTAGGGATTGATGAAAAATTATGTTTGTTGATAATGAGACTGGACGAGTAGCTCTCGGCAAATTGCCGACTTCAAAAGTAGCTCTTGGTTCAAAAAAGGTTGGGCACCCCTGGTTTAGATGGATGATAATAGATCTGTTGACCCGGAATGGCACCCTTCTTTTGATACCAGCTCAGCCCGCGGTACACTCAGTGCGTGCAACGACTTGTTACCTTTGCAGAAGATAAATCAACTCCAGTACAGAGGTCCATCTCACGCTCCCTTTTCAGCGTCTCCGGTCAGGGTGGCTGAGAATCTTTAGAAGTAGTTCCATATGCTCCGATCAACA